GGAAAAGCAAACACTCTAGGGAATTTTAAAATGCTGCAACTGAAATAGTCCAAAACTGGAAATAATCCAAATGAACTATTAATAAGAATTAAAAGCTATCATCTCTTCACAAAAGGGAGGTAGGGTCTATTGTTTTTTCATAACAAGCCTTGTGATTCATTGTGTAAATGGGAAAAAATTGTCAAGTAAACATAAAATTGACAAAAAAGAAGAGACAATGTGGCATGAAACAGAGTAATAATAATAATAAATCATATTTATCAAGCACTTCCTATGTGCCAAGCACTATGCTAAGTGCTATATGTGGATTATCTCTTTGAATCCTTACTATAGTTGTATAAGGTAGACTTTTTTATACCTATGTCCACATGAGAAAATTAATATGTTGAGAGTTTATTAGTTCTCCATTGCTGCATAATGAATTATAGGAAAATGTTGCACCTGGAAACAATACACATTCTCACCTCATAGTTTCTCTGGGTCCTTGAGCAACTTAGCTGCGTGGTCTGGCTGGGTCTCTCACGGGGCTGCTCTTAATATGTCAGCCAGGGGTGCAACCATTTCAGTGTCGAACTGTGGAGCTCTGCTTCAGAGCTCACTCCATGTTACGTCTCCTAAGCTTCCAAGCTCACTCATGTGGGCCTTTCCTCAGGGCTGCCTCAGTTCATACAGTGGCTTCTCTGAGAGTGAGTGATCCAGGAGCACCCAAGATAAAAGCTACTGTCTCTTTATACTCTCGTCTTGGAAGTTACATCTATCACTTTTGTCATATTCCATTAGAAGCATGTCTATAAGTCCATCCCACACTCAAGGGGAGGGTATTAATTCATGAACAAACTATGAATACCATGAGGTGAATCCTATGATTAGTTATCTTAGCAGTTGCCTATCACAGATGAATTAGCTTATCCGAGCTCCCATAGGTAGTAAGTGGTAACCCCATACTGCGAAACCATCCAGCTTGACTCCAAGACTCCGGTTCTTAACCCACTGTATAATCCCCTAAATGTGGCCTAGATGGGACAGCAGCAACCTCGGTTGCTATTTTGGGAGTATGGGAGTGGCAGGGGGGAGAAACCACACATAAGAGCTGATGTCCATATATGTGACACATGCTCAGGTGTGCTGTCAGTTTGGGGCAAAGGGAAATAATCTATATGTAGTGGTCAGTATGTATGGTGCAACTATGACCCACCCATCCACCTCCTACTTCAGAAAGTGTGGATGGCTGCAGGAGAGAAGGACATACATACAAAGATAACCTTGACTTCACTCTCATTTATAAAAGCTCAAATCCTCTCAAGCTTTAGAACTCTACTGGTAATGAATTATTTGGGGCACCCTTCACCCTTGATCATAACAAACTGCAGCTTCATTTTCTGATGATGGGGCACTCATCACAGGGACATGTTGGCAAAGGTGAGGAGTTGGTGCTCTGTTCTTAATGATCTTGGGAGACACTGAAGTGTTTTAAGCATGGGAAAGTGACAGGATCTGACGTGTACCTGCTGCTCTGGGTTACACCATTTTGTCTAAAGCATCAGGCACCGTTCTGCATTCTCATGCATGAGATAGCAGGTGCCTTCTTTAAACCCACTGATTCATTCATGTTGGTGTAATGAGACTTATAAATTTCTCCTACCAGCAGATTGGTCAAGGTACCTATCTCAAGGCACCTGTGCCCGCCTCTCTCCTAGCTCATAATGACCCCTGTGGCTGCAGCCAGGCCATGAGCTTCCTAAGGCACAGACAGATTGCCTCATTCCTGTTCTTATGCCTGGTGGCAGCCACTCTGTTAACATACATTAGAAACTCAGTAAATGTCAGTTAAGTCAAAATAGACTGAAGTGGGTTGAGCACCTGCTGTATGTGAGTGGCTGTGCTGGGCTCTGGGCTGTAGGCACAGAGAAGTATGAGAGTGCCATTTTACTTTATTAATAAAAAGTCATGACTGTGTATGTTCATTCAAGTTTTCATCCACTAATCAAACTCTTGCTGTGAATGTGGCATTCTGCAGGCTGGAACAGAGCATCAGACATCACATGACCACCACTCTTACAGGCTCTGTAATGACTGGAGGGTGTGGTGAGGGGGGCGGGCAGGACAGTGTAGGACAAACCTAGCTTGATCCACTGCATGGGCATCCTGGGGGACATATACATCAGCATAGAGAAGGGCCTTATCCGAGGGAAGGGGGGTACCTTTTGGAGGATGTGGCCTCTGAGCTGGTTAGAAAAGTGACTGTTAGGATGAGTGGAAGTTGTCACTTCATCAAACCCTGGACACTGGTTTGTTAAGACTTGGAGGGAAAGTCGAGGTTATAGGAGAAGGGAAGGAAGTCAGAATTGACTGTTGATATAAGTAGGAGTCACTGATCCATCCAGGGGATATGAAGAGCCATGCAAAGTTTCCTCCCTGCTGCCTTTGTGTCTCCTCAGCCCTCTATGAGCCATCCTGCGAGGTGTACAGGCACCAGGGGAACACGGCTGGTTTCTTCTTCATCGACCCTGATGGCAGCGGGCCGCTGGGACCTCTCCAAGTGTACTGCAATGTCACAGGTGAGGGTGCAGTATTCCCACTCACGCTCAGCCTAGCTGTGTGGTGGTGCACAGTGCACGGGAAGGGGACACTCGTGCAAACAGAAATTTAAATGGCCAACATCTGGGGGGGTGAAGTGGTATTTAAGGAAATAACAGAATGAGCAACTAGGTTATTTTTGTGAGAGAAGAAAACTTGTTAATGGTCTTGATGATGTTCCATCAAAACAAAGAAATTAACTCTCAGGCATTTTCTGTAGAGCTTGTCAAGGATATTTTTTCTCTTAAAACTCAAAAATAGAAAGCAAAGGAAAATAAAACAAACAAAAAACAAAACTCAGAATCAATATGAAACCTTGACTCAGGAAGTGGGAAAGCTTGATTCATGCCTGGCCCCGAGGACTGTGTGAACCCACCCGCTCTCTGAGCTTCAGTTGTTCATCTGTGAAATGGAGAGAGTAGTTGCTACTTCTTAGAGTTGTGTGACTGAGTCACAGTCATGTGTATTGGAGCAGCTAGTGAGACTCGTTCTCCTGTAGATACTCAACAAAAACAAATGTGTCATTTCTATTTTCCCTAGTGATCCCATATAACTTGCCAATTCTTTCAAAAAGTACAGAAGAACCTAGTGAGAGTCCATAATTACATGGGTTCAGAAACAGCAGAGAATCACCGATGTATTTTGAAAAATAATTCCATAAAGCCAAAATGTGACATAATAGTTATGTAAAAACACAACAATGTGAGTGCTCTCTCCATTGTGACTGTCATTAATTGGCACACGAACATCTTTTGATTCAAGCACTAACTTTTGGGAAGGCCAGCAGAATCATGTAATGAAGAAAAAAGGTGTGGGGCTGTTATGGCTCATTGAATCCTCTGGCCCAGGCCTCTCCACAGCAAGGCAACTACATTTACAGAGCTCTTTCTGTAGCCAAATACTGACCTGGGCACTGAGGAGATGCAGAAAATAAGACAGGGTCACTGTCAATTCTGAGGCCGAAATATTGGGAAAATAACATGCGGTATCACAGGTAGAAATGCACACAAACTTTTGCAAACACGGTGATTAAGGACACTTGGCAATTTGTCCATCTGAGCACAAAGGGCCATGCTTTTTTTTTTTTTCTGCAGAAAATGCTAGTTACATGGAATTGGATGCCATTTCATTGCATTTCCATAATGCTTCATCTCCAAAAATACATATTGAGCTAGCTGCTTCTCAACAGCCCTATAACATCATTAGAAATTACGTTGTTGTTTTCTTTTCATGGTTGTGGTAACCTATAGTGTTCTACAATCTGGCCAACTACTAGGGTTCTCAGTGGATCCTGGTTATTTCAAAATGTAATTCACATAGAGATCTCTGAGGATTCTTGCTGAAATACAGACTTCCCAGCCCCAGAAATGCTAATTCAGTAAATGCAGTTTACTGAGCTCTCCAAGTGAGCCTGATGCAAATTGTCCCTGGTCCACACTTGACCAAAAAACAAGGAAGTAAGTTGGTGGCAGAATCAGGAGAAGGAGATGGATGCCTGCTGCTGAGTGGCAGTGTGATTGTTCAGTGCCTATCAGCTTTGGGGACTGATATCATTTGTTTGAAGCCTCACAATAGAAATGTAAGGTAGATATTTTTATCTCTATCTTCCATAGAAGGAAAGAGAGTATGAGAATTTCCTGACTCACTTGAGGTAATAAATACTGGAACTAATAGGACTCAGGAAGCAAAGAAAACATTCTGGTATGGTAATAATCTATATCACTAAACATTAATTGGATACTTTCCTTTGCTTATGTTTTGCTTTAAACAGTGCTTCTATTTTTATTTTAAAAAGAAATCAATATTAATTTTAGAAAATTGAAAGAAAAAAGAAAAGTATGAAGAAAATGTTAGTCACCTATAAACCACAATCCAGAGATTGCCATTGTTATTTTGGAAATTTTTTTTTTTTAGCTGAGCCATCCTGCCACCTGTTGGCAGCTCAGCAGCAGCTCAGCTCAGGCCGGGAATTGAACCAGCGACCCTGTTACTCGGAGCTTGCACTCTTGAGTGAGCTCTTAACCAACTGAACCACTTGGCCAGCCCACCCTGTTGTTATTTTGTTAGAATTTCCATGTGACTTTTTTCAATGAATACATATGTTTTTAAGTATATATTTTAAAGTTGTGAATTTAATAGAGTAACATAGATTTGTCCTTATATTACTAAAAAATATTTTGAAATCAAAATGCATTAATATAGTGTAATTTTAAAACTCTCCAAAATAATCTAAGTAAAATGACACAGAGGGTATGATTGATTCATAGGTCTCATTTATGTGGAATCTCTGCTTGTGTTCAGAAAGACTTTTCTCAGGGTTTATGTTGATATTTTGTCCAGAAATAGCTAAAGACAGATGTTTCCTTGTATTTAAATGTAGCTGTTTTGCTGATGTGATTCTGAAGGAATCAGGACCCCTGAGTTGTATCTGGGAATCGATAGGCTACATTATACATGATTAGACATTTCTGTTAAATATGTTTTTCCAGTCATATGCAGTTGCAAAATATATAGGTTTTTGGTTTTACTTTTTTCTGAAACAAACGCTGTGTTGGCTGAATTATATAGTTTTCATATTTAACTGACAAACATTTTTTAGTATGTAAATATACTGATAATCAAATCCATATTTTTCTATTTGTAAAATGCTAAATGTTTCTAAATATAAGTGATTTATGACACTAGCAAAAGTATGACACAAAGTGGTTCAGAGAAGAGAGGGAGGAAGAAGGAAGAAAGGAAATGAACAGAAAGAGACTGGGGGTGGGGAGGAAAATGGAAGAATGGGTCTGTGTAACTCTGGTTTGTGAAAACACAAAGTTGCTGCTTTCCGCCCTTCTCCGAAGCACTACTGACATGATAACAAAGTGGAAGCAGCCCTGGAAGGCCGGGACCTGGACTCTCTCCTGGCACCCGCGTCAGCAGCCGCATGCTCCTGGCTTAGCCGCAGGTCTCTAAAATCACGACTTGGGGCCAGGTGGTCTCCAGGCCACCCTCATCTAGATTCCAGGAGACACATGTGAGGTTCAACAGAAAAGGGGAAGTTTCTCCTAGGAAGCAAATAGATGTCCTGAGGGTGAAGCAGAACAGTTTTAGCTGTGGAAAACGGTACATTTGAATCCCAACAGCATCTCTCTGTACAGTGTCCCCTGGGGGGAACATTAGTTCCCCATTCCTGTAGGTATGGTGGCACTGGAACCCTCTCAGAGACTGGAGTCTGTGCATGTAACCTATCATAGGGCAGTCTCAGGGTGACGAGATCCCTGAAAACTCAAGCAGCAGTGGTCCCCTGGGTGTAAGGCAGCATGATCTGTGCATGGGGACAGTGGGCTAGTTTTGGGGAGTAACCACAGGGGCTGATTAGGCTTCTTGATAAAGTGGACTGAATCTAGGCCTCTATAAGTGTTGGCAGTATGCCACACCCACGACTGGGTTCTAAGTCACTTACCCAGGACTAGTGAGAAGGAGAAAGGGAAGGCTCAGTGTTTGGATGGAGGAGTGACTGAACTTATGGATGAGAAGCTAAAGAATAAGCTTCTGCAGGGACACACATCTGGTCTCCTTTTAACATCTAAGTGATGTACAATTCATGTCAGCTCAATGTAAATGTACATATTTCAGGCACCTTGCAAACTGCTAAGGATACACAATTGTGTCTGCATTAGTTTCTTCAGGTTTCTATAATAAAATTCCACCAATTGAGTGGCTTAAAAACAAACAAACTAGAAAACAGAAGTACACTGTCCCACAGCTCTGGAGACTAGAAGGCCAAAATCAAGATGCCAGCAGGGCTGGATTCCCTCCGAAACCTGTAGGGGAGAATCCTTCCTTGCCTCTTCCTAGCTTCTGGTGTTTTGCCTAATCCTTGGGCTTGCAGCAGCTCTTCAATCTCTACTTCTCAGTGGCTGTCAGCCTGTTTCCATGTGACATTATCACAGTGACCATCTCCTCTCATGTGAATGTGTCTGTTTCTTCTCTTCTTATAAGAACACTGGTCATATTGCGTTAGGGCCCACCTTAATGGAATATGACCTCATATTTATTTGATGATATTTTCAGAGAACCTATTTCAAATTAAGGTCACATTCACAGGTACTGAGGGTTAGGACTTTACATATCTCTTGGGATACACAATGTAACCTATAACAGTATCATTTCAGTCTCTGTCACAGGCTAATCATGGAGAAGACACAGCAACAATTACACGATGAGAACAATGACAGGGTATGCATAGTGCATGTTTGGAGCCTGTGGGAGGGGCCTAACCAGCCTCTGGTGGAGTGGAAGGGCTGTGAGGCAGGCTGGCATTGTTTATAAGACCTGGACAGAAAGTGGAGCTTCCTGAAAAAAGACGTTCAGGGAGACACTTTCCAGAAGAGCAGACAAATGTCAGGAACAAAGTTGGAGGGTCCCTTGATCCTCCACATACGTGCAGGCCACCAAACTCTCCAAGATGTGTCACTAGTTTAGAAAACTGAAAAACTCATGACACTGAATGAAGAGAAAAGAAAAGGATCCAATGGACCTGAACAGGGGCAAGCAAAAGCAGTTGAAGTTCCACAATCCGAATTACAGTTTCCCAGCAAGAAAACCTGCTGTCTCAATTTTAGGGAAAGAAGGAGCAGTTTTATTGTAAGGAATTTCTGAGCCTGCAGAGTACTTCCTGTCCCTGAATGAGAGATGAAGATCTTTCTGAGTCCCAGCATCAGGACATCATCCTCACATCATACATGGCCTTTAGCACCATCCTCTTTCTCAGGGACAGTGGCTCTGTCGGATGGCTTGCTCAAATCAGAGACTGTTGACAGCAGTGTGAGCATGCAGATGGAAATAACAGGAAGGGATCACACTACAGAGCTAGTAAGAGGGGCTGTCACCACCATCAGACTCACGGAAGTGGGAGGGATAAGTGTTGCCAGAGTAGAAAGGATGGCGGTGTGTGGATCTGTGCCCTCCTGTGTGGGGACAATCAGCAAGGAGC